GCTGAGGTGATCCCAAGGCGTGCTGGAAAGCTTCGCATGGTTTCCGCACATGTGAAGTAGACAGGCAGCGTGTAAACCCTGTCCAACCGTCACACGAACCTTCCGCGGCCGCCGCCCGTTCCGCCTCCGAAGTTTGGTCTTCCGCCCGGAGGCGGAGCGTTCCATGCGCCCTGGTAGCTGACGTTGTTTCTCCTGCAGGCCGGCCAAACCGGCGTTAGGACACATGCCAGCCTATTATAGGCTTGTCTCACATTTCGAGAGGCGTTTATGCCTTAATCCGTGCGCACATGGCTGGGCCTTCTGCCCTCTTTTCCAAAGCAGGATACCCGCTTGGATTCTGCCCATAGGGCCTGGACATTCAGTCCGACGGATGACGTCACGGAGGCTCACATGGCCGAGCAGCAAGCTCTGAGTTCTGATCCCATCAGCATCCCTTTCGCCTTGCCCACAGGGCCTGAACAATTGGCTCTAACCGATCCGCCGATCGAGCGTCCGATTCTGACGTCACCCCGTCTGATTCCGGTTTTGCCCAAAGGGCTTTCATGACAACTCCAGTCTAATACTTTCGAAACGCGGTTGGCGTTTGCACTTCTCTACAGTGAATTCAAAAGGGAGTCTTGTCCTCCGAAGAGACAGCCAGACTCTCTACCACAGGTGTGTTTTGACAATTCCTGACAGAATTACATACCGGGCCAAAATTTCTGCACCATCAAATTCGAGCACTCTATCGAGGTAAACCCGATGGCCACAGGCCTCTGCTTGAGGAGAATCGTCGGATGTCTTACCTGGGCGGCTTGTCAGGGTCGAAGAGGGGGCGGACTACACCCTTCCCCAGCAGTGTGTCCGCCTTTGCCTTGCTATCAAAGAAGGCATGGCGGATGTCCGCTTCCAAAGTCGCCCGCGTCTCCGCCGTCCAGGTCGTGCTGTCCCCTGCCTGCTCGATTTTCATCTTTCTCTCCGCCACGAAAGCGTTGGAGAGCCACTCCAAATCCGGCGAGACGTAGTTGAGTCGCGTGGCGTATAGGTAAACCGCTGACATCAGATGTGCCACTTGAGAATCCGACTCCTGGTAGATGTCGAAGAGGTAGGTCGCCTTGGTGTGCCATGCGGTCAGCTTCGGGTTGATCTCTCTCAGGACGGACGTCAAATGAGACTCCAGAGTCCCCTTAGACACCAACTGTCGAATCGTCTTCTCCAACCTGGCAGTGGATGCAGGATGATAGGGGTTATTCAAACCCCCTTGCAAGATTCTCATTGCCGGCGTCTGTGCAGGCAGGGCAGCCGGGGTTTGTTCAAGGTTTACCCCAAACCCGTAGTTCGGCGGGATCTGAACCGGGGGGGGTCTGACGTCAGCCTGACCCGGTCCTGCCTGGTGAAACGCCTGCGCATTAGGGGGAACCCCAAAGCGCACTGCATACCCTTCAGGTCGAATTCCCGGCTGTGGCTGCTCGCGAGGAGGGGCGGGGAAGGCCCCAAACCCAGGGATGGCCACAGTGTACTGCTCCCATTCCAATTTGTACTCCTTCAGGGCCTCAATCACAGGGTCATTGTTCAGGCGTGTACCCCTGCCAATCCTTAAGTCCGCAGGAGGGATGGTGCCCGGATAACGGTTACCGTGCTCATCTACACCAGAGAAAGTGCCATCTGGGTGAAGCTCTGACAGGATGGTTTAGACCGGTCTCCCCTCGAACATCACCTGGAAGTCCTTTCCCACCAGCCAAGGGAGCCCCTTGATGGCAATTAGCGTTTCTAGTTCTCTCTCCATGCTAGTTCGCGGCCAAATAACCAATCGAAAGGAGCGTAGAGTTAGCTAGGAGGCGCCACTGGCGCTCTCTCTGTAATGTTCGAAAGCAAGGAGGACGTCTTCTTTACTTGAACAAGACGTCTCCCTGTCGGTGAGGGCTGCCCGCGGTCGCCAGCGCGTCTTCTTGCGGCCGCGCGCGGTGCGTGCGGTCAGGCGGCCGCGGTGGTCTAAACCCCGGTCATGCGCACAGCTATGATGCGGGGTGACGCATTCCGCGCTTAAAGTTCCTGCGTAATCCAACGGAACTGCGGCCGCTGGCTGTTCATCGCTCGACGCGCGAGCATTCCGATGACGGGTCAGACAGGAGAAAGTTGCCTTTCTCCCGGCATATACCGTAGTGGCAGCGTGTTGGCTCCGCGAATAGTTATTTTCGAACTTTCTACAGTTTCGCGGGCAGCTTGAGCAGGTTTTTACATTTTTCGCAATCAGCCTATAACCCCCCTTATCGGGGCTTATATGCTTGAAGTCAGGCCTTTTTTGTCCTCTGTAGCCGTCTCCATTTCTCGGCATTTTCGCGGCCTGGGTCCGCATTTTGCCAAACTTTTCGCGTATCCACTTTTTTAGTTATTTTTCCGCGAATTCCCGTGCCACTACGGTAACTGCCAATACTTGTAGAATTGTCGGAATTTTATGTTAATAGCAAGCTTCGACGGGGGAAATGGGACTACTGGCAACACTTTCTCCTGTCCCGCTCCCGACTTATATTGTACCACACCTAGAATATTCCAAAATGTTGTAATTGACAGCACGCATCGACAGGAGGACAGGATGGACGAGACGGACGGCAGAATTTGGTGTCTTGCTTGCGTCTTGTCCTAACCAAACCAGCCAATATGTGCCGAGTGGCGATCCTTAGATACATACATATCAGCAAACTCGGCCGAGATTGGAAAAGTTCATACTATAATCTGTTATATTTTTCTTCTCCGGAGAAGGAATTATAATAGATTAGTAGTACAGAGTTTTCCCTTTGGTTCCCATGTGGCGATATGTATATATGTAAGGCCGTACCTGAAAAAGATGCAATATTGTAGTTGACTTTTTGGAGAAGAGAATATAACAGATTAGCAGTACAGAGTTTTTCCTCTCGGATCAAATTGCCAATATGTATGTATGTAAGGCCCTACCTGAAAAAGATGCCATTTCGTAATTGCCTTTTTGAGGAAGAAGAAATAACCCTAGGTACTTAGGGAGTGCATGCCCGGTGATCGAACTGGTACCACTTGGGTCTCCGACTTCAGGTTTCGACCCCTCAGGCTGCTTTGGTGGTCCATTTGATCGGCTCCTCCGTATGTGCGCTCAGCGTGCAGCGGGTCTGAGGGTCAGTGATGAGAGTCAGGTTGGAGAGGAGGCTGCTCGTCTGCTGTGCTTTTATAGGCAGCGCATTTCGGTCAGCTTGCAGCGTAGCCAGGCTAGAGCCGTTCATCATCGATCGGCTCGCGCAGTTCAGAGCACTTTAGGTGCGAGGCCTTTGGCCATGTCCGGCTTTGTCAGTCGCATTGATTTGTTCACGACCGCAGGAGTGAGGCATAGCAGTGAGGAGTGACATTTGAGGTGCCGTGGCACTCACATCCAACATTGAGTTGGCTTGGCCAACGACCATTGTTGCTATTGGTATTGTTATTGTTATTGTTATATGGCTGGTACCACCTTCACTCTTTTGGGTCTTGGGGGGTATGACGTGACGGCCTGGGAGTGGCCCACATTTAACACCGTTGTGTTGGCTAAAAGGGGCTGTCCATAATAGGGCAGCTCGCGCTGTTTAGAACAATCTAGGAGCTAGACCTCTAGCTTTAATAGGTTTTATCGATTGCGGAGATCTTCTCACGGCCGCAGCTTCTGGTCCCGTCATTGACATTTGAGGTGTTGTGGCACCGCTGATTCGATATTGAGTTGGCTTGGCTAATGTCTTGCTTTATATGTTGATTATCATTGTTAATATTATCATATACTAATGTGGCGGCTCCACTTTCAACTGCATATTGCCAACATCTGCGATGCTAAGCTGGGCATGCTCATGCACAACCGACCACACACGCGGCATTAACTTGCACGTGTCTGGTTCGATGTGTTGCAGGCACTGACAGAGTTTCCGGTACTCAAAGTGGCTCGTTTTGCACTTCGATCGAAGATTTCTGAAGGCATGCAATCAGATCAGTATGCGCCGCTCCTTCGCCCTAACAGGCATTCTTCTTATACATGATACCATACAAGCTCACCATTCTCATGCCGGCTAAAAGCAATATGCTCTCATATGCGCGCGCGCAGGTTATTGCTCAAATAACCAAAAGCCCGCCCCTCGGAAATGCGCAGAATTGACAAACCCGCATACTCATTTACCGTTTGTGTATAGAGATTTGAGGTATTTTAAGCATTCAAGCTGCTCAAAACCTGAACGGCACATACAAAGGCTTCCACAAACGTTGTGAACAAGGATGTATCAACGAGAGGGGTTGAGTCCATGTCGAGATGAATGTCCACATCAACTTGTTCAAGTCTAGCGTCGCCCTCATACAGCAACTAGACCTCTCAAACGTTTCGAGGACCACCCTCGCGACGACTGAAGGGCTCTTCACTGCTCCTCAAAGGCTAACTTCAAGGGCAAGTTGCTTCACTGCTCTCCTCACTTCCGCAATTCCGGGACATTGCTTGATGTCTGAACCCTGGAACTTCATGAAGGCGTCAGAAGGCACGGCAAAGTACAGCTCAACAGCCCCGGGCCCGTTTTGCCGGAAGAACTCTATTGCCTTCTTCATCCCAGCGCCTTTCAGATCGTGCCTCTTGCTGACCGTGATCTGGAACAAGACATTAGGCTGCGTTGCAGAATCGACAGACTCGTTTGTCTTGCTCCGAGGTCTCAAGTACTGCCCGTCCTGCTTGCCCTGAATATCTTCCCAGTTGTCGAAGACCAAGGGGGCTGCGGCAGGACGATGGAAAATCTTGTCCGAGGTGGACAGCAACGGGTCGGACAGATCCCTGATCCTGAATTGACCGCCCTCAATCAGTCTAGCGTGGCAAAACCCTTCCCACAAGTTGCCCCTCAGAGCTCCGACGGGCCCCTCCCCTTCTGATGAGCTGAGAAACGTTCTTAGTGCCTCCTTCTCGTTCTTCCAGATCTGATACGCAACCCTGTGGGTCACGTATACCGAAGCCATCACCATCACGGTCGTTTCGAAGTCTCCTCGGACACGAAGATGGAGCAGTTTGTGGCTCGCTTCATTGGGGGCCGCTTGTGAACCGACCGAATCAACGAGAACTTTCAAAGGTGTGGTGGAGATTGCCTTCTCGAGGAGAGCCTGAGCGTCCGAGTCCACCTTCTCCAGGACAAAACGCGGGATGCCGCCCCATCTGCAGGATAACGAGGATCTTGTAAAACATCAGCAATTTCTGGATAGCATTCAAAGGACCTGTGCACCATAGACCGGGTAGGATATGTATAGCGTTGAAAGGACCGGTGCACCATGGACTGCATGAAAGCATGCAACTCCTGGGAAAGAAAGCAAAAGAACTCCTGACATATCCCTAATGTGAATGTTTCTCACTGAAGTTGAAAGCAAGCTGCTAGTCCATACCTGTCGTACCGGGCCTTTGACTCGTCGGGATCCCGGTCTGGGAAGACGC